GGTTTGGGGTTTGTTTTGTTTTTTTTATTTTTTTATTTTGGGAGGGGGGTTGGGGGTTTTAGGCTTTGAGATATCGGGCCCGGCCTGAACATTGTAGGCGGTGCAGGTGCGCTCTCTCTCTCTCTCTCCCCCGCTCTCTTTCTCTTGTTCTCTCATTTCTCAGTTTCCGTGTACTTACCGATCAATCTATACAAACTTATCTGTCAGTCTGTTTATCTGTCACATACATCCATCTATCTGTCCATCTAGCTATCTCTGTGTGTGTGTGTGTGTGTTTGTGTGTCTCTCTCTCTCTCTCTTTCTCTCTGTCTCTCTCAGCCTCTCTCTCTCTCTCTCTCCGTCCGTCCGTCCGTCCGTCCATCCATCGGTCGGTCTGTCTGTCTGTCTGTCTGTCTGTCTGTCTGTCTGTCTGATATCTGTACGTCTGATATCTGTGTGTCTCCATTATATATGTATGGAGTTATTGTTCAATAAGCATAGTCGTCACTGCTGTAGACACTGTTGCTGACCTTCTGGTTTTGATCCTTTGGGTAGTTCTCTAAATCAGAGTCCCTTTCTAGGTCACCCCGCATAGTACGGCACTTACCAGAGGACCCAAAAGGAACTCTAACACCCAGAAGCTTATCGAACCCCTAATCAGGCCCTAATCATTATGGTAGCCCTACAGCCCTCAAGAACCACCCTAAACTCCAAATCTTCCCTCGAGGCGGTGCAGTTGCTCCTGGAAGCCTCGGCAGACAAGGACACAAACTGAGCGTGCTGTTTCAAGATACCACAAAGGTGCAGGGTTGAGGGTTTCCCATATGGGTTAGGGGTTAGAATGGTGTTCTGCTGTTTTGTTCTACGAGGGTTTTAGGGTTGTGCTCGTATCGTTTTCTTTTGGGTTGCTGTGGGTTCTTAGGGCCTTCAAGGACACGGCCAACCATAGAACGATGGTATAGATTACAGGGGTACCTAGACCCCGAACCCTGACCTTAAACCCTAATCGTCCTAATTCCTAGGCGTTGAACCCTAAATCAAATGGGTAGCTTGTATAGATTGAGACCCGTATGCACCTGAACCTCAAGCCCTAAACCCTACGCTCCGAAAGCCGACACCCCGAACCCTGACCTGGATGCCTAAGCAGCCAAAAGGCCCTAAACCCCAGAACTTATTTGCCCTAAACCCCAAACCCTAAACCCTAAACCCTTAACCCTAAACCGTCGGGTTTCGGGTTTAGGGCATCCTAAGCCCAGAACCTCCGAGCCTGGGCGCCACGAGTCAGGAGAAGAGGGATGGACGGGGCCGGACGCCGCTGCAGTGGGCCGCCGAAGCAGGGCAGACTCCCAGCTACACTTAAGGATCTTATCGTTTCCGCTTCTTTTTTTTTCAGAAGGACTGTTGTGGCGTGGATAGATAAGCAGAATTTACAGGTTCGAGAGTAGTAATACCAGCCACTACAGTCCCTTCTCAAGTAAGCGACTTAATTTAATAGCTGCACCCGACCTGTTTTAAAACAAGGCCCTCGTTCTAAAGCGAAGTCTTTCGTCCTGTAGAATCAGCAAAGCAGGCAGTAATAAGCACTGCTGCTGCTGCGCACAGTGGTAAGCCCAGAAACCTAAGACACCTAAATAACCAAAAACCGAAAAAACAAAAAAACCAAAAAAACAAAAGAACCGACCCCATATCACCGGGCGGCTCCGGAGGTATGGGGTTGGTTATTTTGTTTTTTTGTTTTTTTGCTCCTGCACAGGTACGCGCCTGTCAGCCGAGAGCACTTGCCTCCTCGGCATCTGGTGTTCTCGAATACACTCAACACATGCCTCATATCTGTGCTGTAGCGAGCTTCTCAAGTATACTGGTGCGCAACTTTCTTCAACGACCTCGTTTCCAATGCCGCTCCTTCCAAGCAGACTACGAACGTACAAATACCCGGGTCGGAGGTGTCCCGTCTGCTCTGGTAATCTGTGCATCTCCAAGGCAACAAAAAGCTTCTCGTCGGCGACTTGCCTTGACAGTGAAACTCTTACACTGGCGCGCTCGCACGCCTCACGATGCAATAGCTGTGGTAGTGCACTTCGTCACAACTTCGTCTGGTTGGGTGGCCAGAAGATCAACTGCATGACCTTTCGCCAGATGCAGAGAGCAGGTGTTTACTTCGTGACCCAGAAGACGTGCTTCACCATGAAGTACCTTCATCTGTGCTATCTCCGCATACTCCGTGCCAAGACTTCCCCTGGACAAGAAGCCGCTGTTCGTCTCCTGGCAGATCCGGATCACCCGCTACAGTTTTGGCAAGAACATTCCTTGCGCGATAATCTCCTCCACACCATCGAGGGCTTCGCCATAGCCAAGAATGAGCCGGATAAGGCCATAGAGTTTAACCTTGGGTACCCCGCGAAGTCCATCGTGAACATGTCCGGTGCGTCGTCCCATGATGTCTTTGAGCCGCCCACACCCGTTACCGCGGTCTGCAGCGACGGCAATTTCGGAGCTCATCGTGCTCTGCTTTCAGGAGTGGACCCTCCCAGGTCTGTGAGACTGAAAGGCAAGCCACGCAAACTCATTGGTGATTTCACACGCACACGCTCCTGCAAGCAGAAGGACGCTGAACGTCAGGTGCTACCCGATCGGACTGCTGGTTGGCAATTTGTATTGGACCCTGTCTCTCAGCGTCTTCTTGGGGCCTGCGAACATCTCGAAATTGAGCGGTCGTCCGACAAAGCCCGACTCCTGCAAGCCGTCCTCGCTATGCCAAACATGAAAGTTGACCTTATTATCCATGATGATGCCTGCCACTTGGAGGAGTCTGTTTCCTGCTTTCGTTGCTTTACATTGCTTTTGCTTTGCTGGGTCTGCTAGTTGTTTAATGTCGCGGCCAATTGTCATCATCGCTTCAGCCGCTTCGCGCTTGAACATTCCGTGATTTGGCGGTCGTTCGACGAGTCAGACCTTTGTGCTGCGTGCGACCATGGAGATTAAACAACCTGCATGCCTCCAGTACCCAAAATTTGTGACTGTGGGGTCGCAGGCTGTTCAGATTAAAAACTCAGGAGGCGAATCCACGCATTAAAGATTTCCGCGGTGTTGGTACGCGTGTCGCGGGCACTGCGGTCTTCGGCCTTAGTGAGTTTTCTTTTACGGCAAATATGATTCGGCCGGTGAAACTTGTCGATGATGTGGTACTTTACATCCTGGAAGTCAGATGCCTTCTGCTTCTTGATAAACTCCTGCGCATGAAGTACTGCTGCACATCAACACATGCTTCGAAAGTGGCTTTGACCGTCCGTAATCTGCAAACGCAGATTTCTAACATCAAGCGCAGCGTGGGTTTGGGGTCGTCTAGCTGGTCCGATGAAGCGGAGGAGACCCTTAAGACTTGGCTACTTCGCCTTAGACTGTCATCGGCGTCTTCATCCATGTCCGGGGACCGCGACAGTGTGCCAAGTCTCAAGCACCAGATGCTCATGATGACTGAAATCATCGAAGACCTGGAGGGTGTAGTGGCTCGCGCCCAATGGGATGCGGAGATGCACGAAGAGACCCACACTGGGCTCAAGAAGCTTAAGGCTGTTCTCAAAAAGAAAGGCCTTCAGCATCTGTATGAGAATTTGTCCTAAGACAAGCCTCATGAGCATCCGTCGCTTCGTTTTTTCGTGTTCTGCACATATGCGTCCACGTAGTTTTCCATGTCACGCGTGTTGTCACAGAGACCCCTCGAAATATATCATGCTTGTTCTGCTGCATCATAGGTAGCAAAGAAGAAGTAAAGCATGTTTATCTTCTGCTTATCTTCCCACGCCACAACAGTCCCCTCTCTTGTTCTGGTAGGGTTTTTATATATCAGGGATTTTCAGATTCAATTGTTTTTATAGGGTACTAAGGAAGGTAATCAAAGTTCCCGCTCGTGTTATGACTTGCATGAAGCTCCTTAACCAGAGCCATGGAAGGCTAAACACTAAACCCCAAACCCCAAAAATCCATATTGTGGTAACTACTACAACCTTAAACCCTAAACCCTGCACCCTAAACCTTGCCCCCTAAACCCCAAAACCCTAAAGCCAGGCGGGAGACGGTGAAGATCTTGCTGCAGGCAGGCGCCGACAAGGACAAGTCGCCAGGACTCCCAGTGCCCGGCACTGGAACGCCTTTGCAGGCGGGTCCGTTCTTCAAGGGTTTAGGGTTTAGGGTAAGGGGTGCCACAAAAGTACAAGGAACATGGAGTTCTATCAGGGTACCATGAGGGTACCGAGAGGATTCCAAACAGGTTACAACCAGATTTACGTTGGAGGTCTATGGTCTCAAAAATGTGCCCCCTGTAGCAGAGAGACTGGATCGTTTTGGGGTTGGGGTCTCGAGTTTAGGGATGCTGTGGACTTGAGCGGTTTGGGGTGTCTAGAGTCTCGAGCCGAAGGGCAGGGATCAGGGCTTTTAGGGTTTTTCGGGTTTGGGGTTTCGGGTTTAGGGTTTAGGGTTACAGAGGTTTCGGGTTGCAGGGTTTGTTGGGTTGAGGGTTCGAGGTTTTTTTGGGCCTTCGCAGGTGGTCTGTTCCACAGGCGACGTGGAGATCGCCCGCTTGCTCCTCGAGGCCGGTGCCGACAAGGAGAAAGTGAGCCGACCGTCGCCCAACACTCCCCTGCAGATCGCCTGCAGCAAAGGCTACGAGGATTTAGTGAAGGTCCTCTTGGAGGCAAGGGCCGACGCAGACCGTGCCCTACCACTCATGGATGGAGGGACACTCCTGGAGAGCCAAGGGACGCCGCTTCAGACGGCATGCCGAGAAGGCCACGTGGCGATTGTGCAGATGCTCTTAGAGGCTGGCGCGAGTCGGAACAAAGTGAACCCTAAACCCTATAAGCCCTAAATAGCCTAAACCCTAAACCCTAAACCCTAAATAGCCTAAACCCTAAGAGGCTGGCGCGAGTCGGAACAAAGTGAGCCGCTCCTGCCTGGAAAAGCCGCTTCAGCTGGCCTTCGCCTCAAGGCACCTGGACATCGCGCGCCTCGTCTCCAAGGGCTGAGAGGAAGCCTTCCAAAGGGCCACGCACCGCGCGGAAGAAAAGGAGGGACGTGCAGAGTTCTTGTTATCACGTGGGTCCGTGCTGCCAGAGTTCACTCCCTGCCTGTGTTCATGGTTGTTGTCGGAGGCCTTCGAGAGGACTGGGGACTGTCTGCGCATGCATCGCAGTCGTGAACCTTCGACCTACAAAGTCAGGAAAGCTTGGTTTGGACCGTGCAATCCTCACCTCTTTGGCCCAGTCGCGTGCTTTCAAGCGTCTTCCCAAGGGCACCTCACTAGCAGTCCCAAAGCATACGTTGTCTATGTCCACTGTGACCCTACAGCACATGTCAGAAAACAATCTCGACCCTAAACCCTAAGCTCCTAAGCCCCAAACCCACCCAAGACTTTGACGCCCTGCAGGTGGAGCGTTTCATCCGGGCGATGTGCCGTGGTTAACAGAACTGCCAGCTTTCCATGGTTTTTGTGAGCTTCAGGCCTTCCTTGCAGAGTTTTATGGGTGTGGAGGAGCTTTGGGGGCTCCCTAGGGCCTAGGCCCAAAGGGCCCAAGACCTGAAGACCGGAGTCCTCCTCGGCCCTTTCTGCGGGGCCTCTGAGGTACTTCCCACCCCTGACGCCCGCAAAGTTCCGGAGCGCCGACGGGGAGCTCCACGCCGTGCCCCAGCCAGAAACGACCCTTCAAGTTCTGCGTGGAGCGTTGGGGCCGTCTTAGAGTGGTTGAGAGAAGCTGCACGTGCAGTCTAGCGCTGCCTCGGACAATCTGGTTGTGAAGCGCATGAAGCGCAAGTGCTTTCATTTCTCCCTTTGTCGTCTGCCAGCGTTGTAGCTTCGTAGCAATTTCGATGGTTCATCCTTTCACTCGTCGGGCTTCCTCCGTTTGATCGCCATTGTTGCTTTCCGACCTTGGCTTTCCCAGTGCTGGCGCTAAAAAAAACGCTGAAAGTAGGAAGTGCCATTTTCATCGGCAGCTTCGAGGGAGCGGCATCAATCGAGCCGACGAAGCGCCTCGCTCCATGTTCTGTTTCTAGCTAGCGCTGTGCCTCTGCGACGTAGTGGCTTGATTTAGCAAGTGGGTTCCTAAACCATGAACACCAAAAACCCACACCCTCAACCCTTTGCCCCAAATCCGCATCCCCAACCCTGAACCCTAAACCCTTCAAGCCCAAACCCCTAAAC